GAGGACCTCGGAAGCGGGCGCGGCGAGTGACAGGCGTCGTTGCCCTTGGCTTCAGCGAGCGGTAGGCGACCCCTCCCCGGGTTTCCTCACAACTTTGGTACCGTTGCCGGGGAGGGGAGCAGCACCCCCAAGGCCGCGGCCTTCCCCAACCAACGGGGGTGCACGGGCTGATTAGTCAAGCACTAATTAGCCCATTTCCTTGATTAGTTTCATTTTTTGATATTTTTTGAATTAGTTTGTTTTCCGATATTTCCCGATTCGCGCGTTTTTGCGCGAGACGCGCTGGGAGCAAATTTCGACCTCACGTCGAGGCGAACATTTTGAGACGTTTTTTGATAAATTTTAACGGCTAGAAAAAGAGATATAAAATTTTTTGTATTTTCTAATTAAAAATCCCTAAAATCATGAGTTTAAATATTTAATTCGTTTTTTCTCAATATCTCCCGATCTGCGCGTTTTTACGCGAGGTGCAGTGGGAGCAAAGTTCGACCTCTCGTCGAGGCGAACATTTTGAGACGTTTTTTGAGAAATTCTAACGGCTAGAAAAAGAGAAATGGAATTTTTTGTATTTTTTAATTAAAAACTCCTAAAATCAGGAGTTTAAATATTTAATTTGTTTGTTTTCAATATGTCCCGATCCGCGCGTTTTTACACGAGGCGCACGGGGAGCAAAGTTCGACCTCCCGTCGAGGCGAACGTTTTGAGACATTTTTTGAAAAATTTTAATGGCTCGAAAAGGAGATATGAAAATTATTGTATTTTTCTAATTAAAATTCTGAAAATCGTTAATTACTTTTTATTTTAATTACGAAGAAAGGGAGCGAAATTAGGTGAACCTTGCCAAGACTAAAGTTGGTCCTTGTATTTTTCCCGACATTTTGAGACCTTGGTCAGGGAAAACGGACTCCGTTTGGACGAGTGGTGACCGCTAACAGACAGGAAAAGAGGGGAAAATTAAAAGGAATTAGTGATTTTCTTTCTATTTTTATAAAAATAAAACGGAAAAAGAAGTCTGCGGCAAAAGTGATCTGAGGGAACCCGACTTTTGATTGACTACAAACCGACGGAAAATTTTATGCCTCGAGAAGTTAGACGTGGTGGCGTGCGGTAGCGCGCAAAACCCTAAAACCCTAATTGGGGGAAACCCTAATTAGGGTAAAACCCTAAACCTAGGATAGGGAAGGGCGGTGCGTAGCCGGACGGATACAAGTCTTTCTATCCGACCGGTGATGAGAAAATTTTGTATAAAACCAGTAGACCAAGTTGGATTAATCAAAACTGGGAATTTTGTTTTAATTAAATAAATTAAGTTCTAAATTTGTTTTAAGTAAAAATTTGTCTTAAAAATTAATTAAAAATTAAAATAATTATCTAAAATCCTTCAAGAAAGGGGGGTCAACTTTGTTTCGACCGTGTGATTCGGAAGATACTTCGCTTAACCCCATCCCAACGGGGGGGGGAAGCCAAGTGCTGCCGAAATTGCTTGACAATTTGCTGAATTTTATTCAATTAAATCTTAAATAATTAAAGAAAATACTTAAAAATTAGCTAAAAATTGAGATACTTAATCTTTCTTGTTGAACATCATTTATAGGTCTTCGTCCAAACCCTACCCCAACGGGGGGAGCCAAAACGCTGCCGAAACTTCGCAAATTTCCTAATTTAAATTATTAATTCTCTTATATATATATATATTAAAATCGATTAG